CTGCTGCATGCTTCTCTCTGCTCATCCCTCACTACAACAGGGCAAGGACTACCACATACATAACGTACTACATATAGAAACACACAGAAAGTATGATCATATTGGAGATAAAAATAGATGGTGCGAGTCTAACATTAAACAAGCAGTCTGCTTGTCATACATTGCTGACGATACATTTTAAGTAGGCAATTTGTTGAGTCACTGCCGCTAAATGCCGTTAGCATCAAGCTAGCAAATCCTGCATTAGCCTCACATCAACAGGTGAAGACAGAACATCCAATTATCCTGAGCTAATTTACTGAATAAACCAACTCACATCTCCTGTCTTTTTTTTCACCCAACTCATTAGACTATTCTTCTGCTGGCGTTTCATTGTTGTTTTCTGTCAAATTCAATACTGTAGTTCAAAACCGCAGTACCTGCTCACCATCTGTGAGCTATTTTTAGAATGCGCACGCTACGTTCGTTGTCGCGTTCGTGCGCGTCCACCTGGTCAGGCTGTTTGTGTCCTTCTCCCGTGACGATAACGGCTTGCGGTTAAAAAATAATAATAAACAAATTTGAAACTGGGGGGGGACACAAACGGGCAGACAGCAGAGCTGTTGTTCTCCTCCTTTCCTCCGCTCTTGTCTCTGATTGTGAGTGTGTGCATTCGCGTGTGTGTGTGTGGGGGGGGGAGCCCCGCCCTTCAGAAACAGAGCGGAGGGAGAATGTGAATACGCAAGGCAGTGGACACTGAAACATGCACATTGGATAAATAACATAGGCGTTTAGTTTATTTAATAAAAGAGCACATGTTCAATGTGAAACGTGACCTTAGATAGATTACTTCAGTTGCAATTTGGTGCTTTTTTTGGCGGGGCTCCGTTGGCAGGGCGCAGCGCCCCGCCAAGACAATGGTAGGGGAAACACTGGGTGAGGATGAAACTGATTCAAAGGTCACACGGCACAGCTATATGTCAAGGTGTACTTCTTTCGGTTATTTTTTTACATGTTTGTTTAAAGGGGACCTATCATGCAAAATGCACTTCTGTACGTCTTTTATACATGAATATGTGTCCCCGGTGTTCCAGGGAACTCACCAAGTGTCAGAAAACACAACCCTCTCTATTTTCCTCCATACCCAAATCTCTAAAAAAGGGGCTGCAACGGATCTTATACAGACTGATCCAGATTTGAACGCTGTCCTGACGTCAGTAAAGTGGAGCTACGGCTATTGGTCAATTCTCCACCTATCAGGGGAATGAGAGGTTGGGCCACGGCCGGCCATTGCCGCTCGAAAGCGCTGGAGACGCTGTAGTACATATGCCAGGCCTGTAAGTCACGCTGTAGTCTGCCACCAAAGCAGGGAAGAAGACTTCCCGCGCATGGTTGCCATGGTTGCCCTTCTGTTTATTCTCCGCTGTGGCTCTTTTTCTCCCTCCCCGAGGCAAGCGTTTGCGCCTACTGCTTTAAAACAAATGAATAATGACTCTATATAATCATATGTAAGGGATAATGTGCAACGACGCGGTCATTATGGGGAAAAAAACACCAACAGGCTGATCAGGGGCCCGGCGCGAAGCGGAGGGATCTAGATCGGCATGAAGGTGTTATTGTTATAAGTCGCTGCACATTATCCCGCTTATTACATGGCCACATTCTCAACAAAGTAACGACATGACTCCCAATATTAATTGAAATGCTTTTATGGATTTAGAAAATGATTTTATTGATTTAAAAAATAGTTGTATTGATTTAAATTGACATGCATCCGCTAAGAAAAATAGTCCGTTGTTACTGTTTGAACTAACGTAGCAACGGCAGGAACTGCTTTGATAGTGTTTTTGAGGAGCTTTTTGATTACAGATTTGAAAACATCGTTGCTTGCTTTAAAAGTAGCACAATTCCTTATGTTAAACCTTGGAAAGTATCTAGATATCCCTGCTCTAATGCCAAAGGAACTGGCAACTCCCCTCTCCTGCAGGGGGGCGTGGTCAGTTGCAGCTCACAGAATCAGCCCCCTGCAAAAACAGTGCTGGAAAGAGCAATTAGAGCGAAATGAGGCATGGCTAAAATGCAGGATCTGTTTGGTATTTTGAAAAAAAAACGATATATATATACTTTCTATATTTATGGCGCTACAATATATATTTAAAATATAGCATGATAGGTCCACTTTAAGGTTTCATGATTTTTGCTCTTGGCAGCCAAGGTGGCATCAGACACCTGAACACTTTTATAAAAAATATAAAGTAATATAATCAGAGGCTCTTTCACTAAAATGATTGGGGGATTTTCTTAATTGTTTACATAGTCTGGTTTATGTCAATGGCTACAACAACATGGCCATGCATCATGCATTGCATCATGGCACAGCAGCAATGACTAAAGTAAGAGAAATTAACACCAAGAACAGAGGCACTAACATCTACCTCGGTCCGAATAGTGGTGTGCCGGGAATAACTCTGGGAAGAGTTATCTTTAGTTGGAGATTTTACATTTTATTGCCAGCAACATTCAACAACATTTTACATTAGATTGTGCCAACAATATGAAAATAAAAGAGTTAGATTTAGTTGAACATTTTACAATTTTATTCAGAATCAGAATCAGAATACCTTTATTAGTCCCACAGAGGGGACATTTACATTGCTACAGCAGAAAAGAGCCAAAGACAGCTTAATGTTACCTATTGCCAGCAATATTCAACAACATTTACATGAGATTGTACATTTTGGCACACAACAATATGAAAATAAATGAAAATAGAAGAAGAGTTAGATTTAGTTGAACATTTTACAATTTTATTCAGAATCAGAATACCTTTATTAGTCCCACAGAGGGGACATTTACATTGCTACAGCAGAAAAGAGCCAAAGACAGCTTAATGTTACCTATTGCAAGCAATATTCAACAACATTTACATGAGATTGTAAATGTTGGCACACAACAATATGAAAATAAATGAAAATAAAAAATAGAGCTCTTTAACTTACAAATAAAAGAGTTCTTTCCCTTTGAATAGGATAATTCGAATTATGATCAGTTCAGTTCTGTGTGTGTGTACTGCCATGACTCCGTCGACCAGGGTAGAGCTAATAGTGTACTGGTTATTATCTGAAATCAGTGTGAGTGAATTCAGCAGACTTCCTTCAAATCCAACGTCCTCTATAGGCAGGTCCAACGGTAGACCACACCCGCTTCCAACAACCGCTAACAGACTCACTGGGCTTGGCTCGCCATCAATCCCAAGTCAGATTGGATCTGGCTTGCTGACATAAGAAAAAAAACAACCTGCACGAATAGTGCAGAATAGTAAATCACTCTTATCTTTCTATTCTATCATAACTCTTATAAACATCTTTAGTTAGCATGTTTCACAATTTAAACAGTAACTTAAAGCATATTTCATATACAATGAAATGATTTACTTTCATCACCAATGTGTATTTTAACTATTGATAAATAAGTTATATTTTTAAACAACAAATCTTACATTTGAGTAGAAATAACAAAGTATACACTATAGTGTTTTTAACTACCATTTTGTATGTTTTTAACAGTTATTCTTAACCATGAACATGAACAGACATTTTAGTCAGCATCTAGCTGCACTACAGCTAATGAAATGAATTAACCAACTAATTGCTAACACTCAGAGCTAACCTGTACTGGAGAGAGTATGTGTAAAAAAGCAGGATAGAAAAGGGTACTCACCCACCTTGTGGTAAACCCGCAAGAAAAAAAGCATTTGAGCTCTAACCTGTTTGAGAAATAATCCTTGATGTTGTTTTGATATGGCGTTTCTTCATATCACCACTCTTTTTTAATGATATTATGTACATTGTACACTATATTAAAAGCTGCTCGACCATTGTCTCTGCGTTTTCAGGGTGTTCACAGGGAAAGAGAGGGAGCCACTCATCACCCTGTACATTCTAGAGCGCTCCGTGCAGAAACATGTATTCATACATCTAAATTACATAAAGGGGTGTAGTAGCCCTATATTTCATATGGGTTACAAACAGCATTAACATCATATGCCTCGTTGGTTTGCTGTGTTGTAATGTGTGTGGCATTATGTGTGTGATGTTAGTACATCTACTGACAGGTGTCTTTCTTTCTGTGTTTAGACAAAGAACTATACGGCTGGCTCAAGTGTGTGAAAGGTCAACCCCACGATCACAAACACCTGATGCCGACTCAGATCATCCCCGGCACAGGTACAGCACACACTCTCATCTCTGTGTCTCCCTTTGTGTCTCTGCTGCTTCCTTTGCCCTTCCTGGATGGCAGTGTGTGGCTGATGGGTTAAAGATATTCTGACCAAAGCAGTCAACAACAAAAAAACATGTTTTTTTCCTGAAATGTTATGTTTCTGATATTTCAGTGCTGGCAGATTTGGTGTCTTCCATGCACTCTCTGAGAGAAAAACACAACATCAAGTCCCACTGTCCCTGCAGCACCAAGCAGAACCTGCTCACCAAACTGCCAGCCACTAACGGAGTCTCACAGGTACTACTGACGTATTTGTATCGTCACCTTATTTGTTGTCTGGAACTTTTCAGTATAGACACTAAACGTGTTCATTTCGAGAGTGAAACAAGGGTCACCAAAAAGTAGAAAAATGTTTTGCTTGAAACTAAAAGGTTAAAGGAAATATTTGAACAGTGGGACAACTGCCTGTGTCATCTTATTATAAGTCCCAACACTGTTCCAGTTGCCCCCAGCTGGTATGCAGATGCTTTACAGATGTAACACACAGCAGCTTCTGTTCTGTAGAGTCTCGCTGTTGGCAGCGGTGTTATTAATGCCTTTCAGTTATATTCTATTCATCCTTAATGTGCCATCATGTAAGATATTTCTACGTATTTACGAAGTACAATATAAGACAAGCAGAAGTTTAATGTGTGGGCCATATTTCATTATATTGTTAGAATTTGCTGTGGGACCAATTAAAAATGGTTTGGACCCCCCTGGTTTAGGGTAACTTTTGACCCTCTCTTTTTAACCCTGTTCTTTTACAAATAATCTATTTCTAATTGGTGTAACACCCCGAGGCCACCAGTCTCATGTTGACCTTTAACCCCCCCCCCACTCCCCCTCCTGTGGCAGGTTCTGCAGAACGTCCTGAACCACAGTAACAAACTGTCTGTGCTCAAGACTGAGCTGTGCTCTCAGCAGAACTCCGACCAAGGAGGGACAAAGGTGGAGACTAACGGAGGGGGGGGGGGAAGCAGTCCAAGCAGCGATGCAGGAAGTGCTCCTGTCACCCCGCCCGAGTCCCAGTCCCCTCTGCACTTCCTGGCTGATCTGGCAGAGCAGAAGTCCAGGGAGGAGAAGAAAGGTGAGGGGGGAGGCTCATGGGAGGCGTGTGGCGTAGTGGTCTAGTGCGTTGGTGTTTGGATCAGGGGGGCACAGGTTCAAACCCCACTGCAGTCAGCATGTCATTGTGTCATTGTGTCCCTGAGACACTTCGCCCCAAGTTGCTCCTGTGGGGATTGCCCACAGTATTGAGTATGTAAGTCGCTTTGGATAAAAGCGTCTTACAAGTGACATGTAATGGGACAGAGAGATATTACATTGTGTTATGATTTGAAGTTATAGTCAGCAGGCTTGGGTAGTAACGGATTAAATGTTGCAAGATGACATTATTAGGATACAAAAAAAGGTAACTGTATTCTATTACAATTACTTAAAAAAAATTAAAAAAGTTATGAGATTGCTGTCACATTTAAAAAACAATTTTGAGATTACTAGCAGGATTTAAGTGCTACAATACATTTTGAAATACAAATCGATATATTATAGGTAGACGTACTGAATACATTTTCTTTACAGTTTTTATTTAGGCTACTTTAATTCTTCTTTATTTTAAATACATTTCTTTTTTAATGCAGTAGGTGGATTAACAAACAAAAGTACAGTTTGCTTTTTTCATCAATTTATTAATTTCAAACAGCATTTGTAAACTATTACTGTAATTTTTAAATAAAATATCTTGGTTTCTTCTTTTGTAAGGTAAAATAAAAATACATTTTATTGTTGTTTATTTTCTCTTGTTTTTATTTAAATTGTAGGTAATGCAAATGAAACGGAAGGTTACATTTATATGTAATATGTATATATATACGGTACTTTTATATTTTGATACTCAGATTAGGTTACATTTTTGACATGTAACTAGTTATTATAACAGATTGTTAAAGTAACCCTCCCTACCCTGGTAGTAAGTACAGTTGTTTTGAAACTTTGAATATTTGACCTCCAGATGGTATATTGTTAGTCATCTCTTCCCCTCTTGCTCTTACAGAAAACAAGTCTGTGGTGCTGGGTAAATCAGTGAAGGAGGACAAGGTGGGGGACAGCCTGGAGTTGCTGCAGCAGTGTAAGACCACCTCCCTGGTAGCCAACAGTACGGAGCAGGGCTCCACCCTCAGAGACCTGCTCACCACCACAGCAGGGAAGCTGAAGATGGGCTCCACAGACGCTGGGATCGCCTTCGCACCAGTCTACTGCAACGCTGCACAGGTACACATCCATATGTTCAAGGATTTAACATTAGTCATTTGGTAATTGTTGAGGAAAATATTTACTTAGGCCAAGACCTTTCACCTAGTTTATCACTTCCTTCTCCCCCTAACTCCCTTCTCAGAGCACAGGCATGCGACTTCAGGGTGCTGCTCACTCACTGAGAGAGTCGTTTTGTCTCTTTATTCTTGCCTGTTGGCATCAGTTGATACAGGGTGTTTTGCTGGGGACATCTGGTAGTCAGCTCCGCTGTGATCTCCTTGTGTTCAGAGTCGTTGCTCCTGAAGTTTCCTTTCCATTTAAAAAATAAAATACCTGCCTATTTTTGCCAATAGACAGTTTTAAAAACGAAATATTCTTTTCCTTCTTTCTTCCCATCCCTCTGTAGCATGGAAAAGGTGGGAGGACCATGCCTAACATCCTTGATGAAATCATTGCTTCAGTGGTTGAAAATAAAATCCCGGCCAACCGCCAGAACATCGCCAGCAAACTGTCAATCATCAAGCATGAGCCTGTCACCCCTAGCAACAACAACAACCCCGCCCCTGCTATCACTGAGGATGTTAAACCAGACAGGAAGAAGACAGCTGCGGCGGTGTCAGAAGAATCAACCAATCAGTATCCAGATATTCCTCACTGCTGGTTAAACAACAGGCGGCTGCTGTGGCTCAAAGATCACCGCAACCACAACAACTGGAAGCTGTTCAGAGAGTGCTGGAGACAAGGACAGGTACACACCAGTCCTCACAGCAGCATATTAGTCACAGTAATAGAGAAGTCATAGCAGCAGTTAGTGAATTCCTCCGTGATAACAACATGTTCTGTGTCTGCAGCCTGTCCTGGTGTCAGGGATCCACAAGCGACTGAACAGCGCCCTGTGGAAAGCCGACTCCTTCAACCAGGAGTTTGCTGACCATCAGGGAGACCTGCTCAACTGTAAGGACCAGGTGGTGTCCAACTCTGGGATCAAGGAGTTCTGGGATGGATTCGAGGACATCACCAGTGAGTTTATCCACTTGGTTTAGCTGGTTGATAAAATACAGTAGCACCATGACAAAAATAATGGTGATAAAGAAAAATCTGTTCAGTCTAAATGAAGTCTACTTACCCTTTCAGAGCGGCCCAAGTCAAAGGACGGAGAGCCCATGGTGTACAGGCTGAAGGACTGGCCCTCTGGAGAGGAGTTCATGGCCCTCATGCCCTCCAGGTACACACACTTTTTATCTCTGTTACCTCTGTGCTGTCGGATGTCCTAATCTCTCATTTTTCAGCAAATGTCTTTAGTTCAGATGCAAAATAAACAGTGAGTGCATCTAAAGGAGATGATGTTGTTGCAGATATGATGACCTGATGAAGAACCTGCCTCTGCCAGAGTACTCTGATCCAGAGGGCAACCTGAACCTGGCCTCCCACCTGCCCTCTTTCTTTGTCCGGCCTGATCTGGGGCCCAGGCTCTGCTGTGCCTACGGTACGAAGGATTTACCTACAGCAATGAGTGCAGAGATTTGAAATGAGTGGTTAACTAATTTGAAGGTGGAGTTGACATGATTGATACACCTTCATCTGAGAAACATGAAGAGACATGTGAACTGTGGTATAATTGGTCCCCTAATTACATGTGTGTATCTGAAAAAGATGTTGATGTTCTGCAGACTAACGTTATTTTCTTCTATTTCATTATGTGCACATTTTAAATATAGTAGTCTCATGCTTCCCTCCATATATTTCCATTTAAAGTGTTCTCCAGACTCTCTGTGTTCTTCTTCTGAAGCTGTTTGTCTCTCTGCAGGCGTAGCTGCGTCTCAGGACCAGGACTTTGGGACCGCTAACCTCCATGTGGAAGTCTCAGATGTGGTCTCGGTTCTGGTCTACGTAGGAGTCGCTAAAGGCAACGGAGTCCTGTCAAAAACTGGTAGGCTTTACTATAGTCAGCTACATGATGACCCTAAAGACGGGCTGACTAACATGAACTATTCTCAATAATGTGGACAAGAGGGACAGGATGAATAGCTAAATATTAAAAATGTGTCAGACCTCATGACTAGACATAAACTTTTGCAAATTTAAAAAATACAAATGTTATTGCTTAAAAAACACATCTGCAACCACAGTGGCCCCTAATGGAAGCTCGATGAGAAGTTGAAACACAAAAACGCAGTTAATGTACAACAACAACAACATTAGAATCTATCAAGAGAAATATCAAGGAATCTAGTATCTATTTTCTATGTATCATATCTTTGTTAACTGAACAGTTCGGGATGTTTGACAGTTTTGAGTGTTGGATGGAGGGGTTTTAACTAATTAAAAGACTAAATATTTAAATTTCATTCAATGAATTGGAAAAAAAAGACACGTTTCCTAATTGATAAATGAAAATAAGAATTGAATGAATCCTTAGAAAAACATGTGTGTGTGTGTGTGTGTTTGTGTGTGTGTGGTGTGTGTGTGTGTGTGTGTGTGTGTGTGTGTGTGTGTGTGTGTGTGTGTGTGTGTGTGTGTGTGTGTGTAGGAGTGTTGAAGCGTCTGGAGGAGGAGGATCTGGATGAAGGGGTGCGCAGGAGGCTCAAAGACTCCAGTGAGACTCCGGGGGCTCTGTGGCATATCNGCCTTGGGGTCGAGAAATATTTTCAGGGGTGCCTTGGTAAAAAAAAGGTTGGGAACCACTGCTGTAGACCACTCAAGCTCTTCCACAAAGGGCCTACCCCAAGATGTGCATTGAGTGCAGCTGGTAAATGACAGAGCCTACCTGCAGGTCTGTCTTCATCAGCGAGGCTCCTGCTTCCACCAGGTAATGGCAGATGGTCCTGTGGCACAGAGAGGCAGCACGATGCAGAACCGTCTCCCCACTGGTGGTTCAGAGA